AATAATTAAATCATTAGTACATCGGTGATTGGATCTGTGATGAGCACTTTTTACTCGCTTTTTTCTACCAGGTGTATTTTTCTTAGGAAGCCGTCATGTGGTCGAACAGCGACTACAGCTTTAATGTCTTCATGCTTAGTTCTTTTCCCTGCTAATCCGTGCTCTGATTTCAGACTTGTTCTTTTTACGATAACGTAGCTCTCCGATCCGGCTTCTAGTATCCGACTTTCGAATAAACGGATCCAGGATGCATATAAAGATAGTGATATTTTGACACAAGCGTCTGTAGTCGTCTAATTCACAGTGCGATCGCAGGGCATTCACGAAAAGAATGATCACGATCGGGTTTCTCGGACGGTTTAGTCCAAACGAAAGAAGGCCGAACGGGTTTTGTTCTTCCGTTTAAATATACATTTACTGATCTTAAATGTTATTTTGTTTTTATTCATCTCTGAGAATAATTACTGCCTGTATCTTTTTTTTTTTCTTTTTCTTTTCAACATGGGATACTCGTTAATTAAGGGCTAGTTCGACGTCACGAGGCTGCTCCGTACACACTGTTTGAGAAATGTCCGGACTATACTTTCAACACAATTTTATCGAGGCTCGTTCATGGGAAATTCTACCGGTTTAAATGTAGTAAGACTCGTTTACAATAACATCTCGGGTTCCTTCGTGTGCATCGAAAGAACGTAAGAACCTTTCCTTTAAAACCCGACACCTTCATATCGTGTACAGAAAAAAGGTTCGTGAACTAAACACGGGAGACGGCATGTTGTGTCCCAGTAGTGAGGCAGATAAAATAATCACCTTTACCCAAATTGAGACAAAACCAGACCACCTTGAGCTTAACTAGTTTCTGAACGCTTTAAAAGCCTAACCAATTAACTAAATATTGGGGGGAACTTTTTGATACAGTAGCAAAGGGCCTACATCGTTTCAAGTTCAACGTTATTGTCATGACTTGAGAGACATTCATATAATATGAAACGTTGAATGGATTCATTAGGGTTTTAAGAATTTATTATCTGTTAATGAAACTTTAGGTAGTAGCCATTTTCAATAGCTGCCTGCACTCGTAATAGAGCTTTCCATTAGAACTGGAAATAAAACTGTCTGAAATCCGATTTACGATTAAGCTCAAAAGAGGCCTCGAGATCATCTCTGGTATTTGACGGGTAGCTGTTCCTAACTATATGGAAGTCCCAGGTTGAAATTATGCAAACTTTACAGGACACGTAGGCATAAACGCTTTCTAATTTCATACTGTCGGAAAACAGGGTGTTTGAGAGCGCCCCCCTCAGGTCCACGTTGAGCCACCCGGTTACATTCCACGATTATTTGACTTGAGCAAACATTACAGATTTTTTTAATACAGTACTTATTAAATGGCTCCTTTTCAGCAGCACACATGGTCACTGAAACCACTGTTTTAGGATTTCACTTTTTAAATTGGGGAAAGAAAAAAAAGCGAGCAACTTGAACCATGTATTAAAAAAAAAAAAAGTAAAAAAAAAAAAAAAGCTATGCGCTGCTAAATAAATCAAGAGGCTGGACCCCCACCAGTCTCAGTCGCAGTTTAGCAACTGCACCACTGACTTTGCTTGAATTTGTTGTCGAAATGTGAATGTTTATATTAAGATAAAACGTCACGCGTTCTCGGCATGTGTGACTTCGACTTCTCTTTTAAGTTATGATTGAACCAAGTATGCAGTGAGGTTTAGATTGTAACTGAGGACAGTTTGCTGTTTTGGTACTGTCAGAGTGTGTCTTCTTTACTTTGCTGTTGCCCCAGTTTGATTCTCAGGTTATGCAAGAAATCTACCTCCACAGGCAAAACTAACTGTGAAAGAGGCTAAAGGCAGCAAAAGCTATGAACGTGTTTTTCTTTCCTTTTCTCCCTTATCTGAATCTGTGTACCCTCCGAGACCGAATGCTCTTGTAGCCATGTCTTTCCTTTCAATAAAAAGTTTTGTAGATTTTTCCCCCCGTTTCTCATCACGGTTTCTTTTGTTATACGTCGATGTCAGCTGATCTAACGTACTCCGTGGGGACGGGATGGGAAATGCATGCCGTTTCTGATTAAAAAAAACATTAGTGTCTCACATTTGGTAAACAAAACCCCAGAATGGCGTTCCCCAGAGAGAGACCGGCCTGTTTAGGGTCACTTGTACATGCTCCGTTATGTTGTAATTAATCACTAATACAATAGCGGTTTTAGGAACAGAAAATGAACAAGCGCATAAAAAGGTATTACAAAAGTTTTATTGCAATTGACATAAGGTTTATGCACAAAAAAGTATAAAGGATTGGAAACTGTTTGCCGTCACTCGTGCATGGGGGGTGGGGGGGTGGTAATCGAATCGACAGCAACGCCCGTTCAAGTGCATTTTCAAAGCAATAGACGATGTTCTCCACCAGAACATTCTCCCAACCATGACTGTTGCCTTTTTTAGGAAAACATTCGACATACCAGAAGTTCAGAGAGTAAACAAAATTAACAAATGCTGAATAATAGTTGAGGAAAGCGAAGGAGAGAATGGTTTAATTGGATTTTGGCCTCCGGATGACGTCCTGAAATGCAGATGTTTCGTAACTTGATCCATCCCAAGTGATTGTGAGCGACTGAATCTTTGTAATGAAAGAGAACCGGAGTAACAATGAGGAGGAAAAAGAAAAAGAACCTTGCTATTACATGGTAGAAGCTGTTATGAGGCCTGGCTCTCGAGCTCGGAGGCAGGAGTGTCTGGTTCCTCGTCGTTGTAGATGTTTTCAGCCTGAAAGATGGAACGAGTGGTTACGTTTCATAAAGCTGACCTCTTTAAATCAGCTCTGAAAGATGCATTTCGAAATAAAAGCAGGAACTGACCATTTGCCAAACTTGCATAATGTTATCTTCAGAAACGGAGCAGATCACCCAGGGCTCGTTGGGATTCCATGAGAAATCGGAGATCTTCGCCGTGTGGCCGCCGTGAATAAACTGTCATAGATGCAGACAGAAGTGAGTTCAAGCTCACAAAATTATTATTAATATTTTTTTCAATCTGTAGAAGTCGATCAAGAGCAAGAGACTAAAATAAACACCCCGTATTGAAGACTTACCAGCAGTTCTGGAGGTCCATCTTCAGCATCCTCAGCAGACTGTTCCTCTCCAATTTTACTGCAAGCATTATCAAGCACAAATTAAACTGGGCAAAGGATGTTCGAGAGACTAAACTATCTGGTATAACTTGAATACATGGATTTAAAAAGAAGAAGACTGAAGCACGTTGCCTCACCTCAGGTCCCAGACGTTGAGTCGCCTGTCTGTTCCACTGGAGGCCAGGATCGTCTCGTTATGAGGAGACCACTGAACCTATTATAGACGACATAGGAATAACCGATTATAGACATTTTTCTAATGTTCTACGATATGTATCCACAGCATATCCATATGTATTGCCATATCGCATAGCCCAAATTGTCCACTGTTCAAAAGAGCTATATGAATATATTAAGGCTGCAACTAGCGATTATTTTCATAATCGATTAGTTGGCTGATTTTTTTTTTCTTCGATTAATCGGATGGGGCGAGGCAAGCTTTCAGTACCATTTTTTTGTTTAGCTAAAATAAAATCCACAAAACGAGTGTTACAAATATAAACTTCAGACTAAAACTCTACACTCTACACTGTTTGACTAAAACAGAAAAGAATCCAACACACCCCCACACCAGTTTAATTGGGTGCTTTTTGTGCATCCATAAAAATAATGCATAAATTTGTATGGATGCACAAAAAGGACTGAATTAAACTACGGTCCTAAATTAATAATAAAAACTCACTTTCACTGCACCTTGTGGTTTCTGTTACTCACTGCCGTTAGACATTTTATTTTTGATCATAAAGTTTTAATGAGACATTACAGATCTTACTCATGCTCCGCTCCCTCTCTCTATCAAATGCATCTACTCTGCGCGTGATCAGCAAACGCGGCCTCGTTACGAACACATCACTTCCGTTATGATAAACGAGAGAATTTACACTGCAAGTGCGCAAATACAGCATATAATGACAAACTTGAATTAAACTAAACCTTTTAAGGAACTCGCACCAGTTTCCCCTGCCCTTTACACACAGTGGAGCATTTTGGATATCAACATAAGTTTGTCCTCCTGTTTAAAATGCTCCTTGTCTTAGAGGACTTGGAGGTTACACACTTTCTTCCTCAGTCACGTGAATATTTGGCCTCGGTCTGATGGTGACTGAGGTCATGTTGGGAATAGGAATTAACGCCGACAGAAAGTAAACTGAAGAAAGTCATTATCGGTGATTCGGGTGTCTGCTAATGCTAGCGTGCATATGATATCATGCGCCTTCGTGGCTTATACTTCCTGTTAGTAAAAAAACCCAAAATGCTGGTGTTCTATTTGAGATGATATTACCTTTGTAAAATCCACACACTAGACGGTAGTGCAGAGTGTACAGTACTTCATTTGGGACACAACTTTAGTATTTACTCTCCGGAGCGTGTTTTCTGAATAGAAGTAACGTAATGAGTAAATCTCCCCCGTGCCGCGCAGCCCGACTAATCCATAATGAGATTCGTTGACATGTTCTACAAGTTTGTTGATAGCAATTAAGCTCACACACTTGCAGAAATTGCAAAAATAGACCACAAACACCAATCCAATTCCAATCAACCTTCAGTTGTGGCACAATTCTCTGTATTAAAGCCTAACGAAATAAACTTAAAGTGCGCAAAGGAGTTTTCCCCCAAGTGTCAGGTTTTTAAAAAATAAATAAATAGATAGATAAATAAATAAATTAAGCATTTATTAAAGTTGCTCCAATGGACCTCTAATTGCATGAGGAAACATTAAGAGAAGGCGTGTGGAGAGAACGCAGGCGGTGTTACGAAACTGCTATTCAATTCCGTCCACGGCGCAACTGCAACTAATCGGCCACCAGGAAATAAAGGATTGATCGTTTGATCTGTCGAGTATTTTATACAAAAACAGGGGCAGTGGTAGCTCAGTGCTTACGATATTGGACTGCTGATCAGAAGGTCGTGAGTTTAAATCCCAGCGCTGCCCCTGCTGGGCCCCCGAGCAAGGCCCTTAACCCTGAACTCTCATTTGTATAAAATGAGAAATGTAGGGCGCTCCGGATAAGGGTGTCTCCAAATGCCGTAAATGTAATCATGGTGCATCTTTCCTGTGGGACAGAAAGAAGTATTACCTGGAATATTTCATCCTTGTGTGACTCAAAAGAGTGAAGCTTCAGCTTCAGGTTGCGGAGATCCCACAGGGCCACAGTCTGTAGGGATAAAAACACGTGTGTCTATATGTAAAGCATGCAAGGACATGTGGGTATGATGTATGGAAAAACATTCAATGATTTTTGCAGATATGGAGTATATACACAGAAAAAAAAACACATTATGTATATAACCGAATGTAGAATATGGCGAGTGTGCTGTAGAAACCTTATCTGCAGACCCGGTGGCTAGGATGAACTCGCTGTAGGGATTGAAGGACAAGCAGTTGACTTCAGCAGTGTGAGCATCCACCGAGTGGCTGGGTTTAGCTGTGTTATTGGATCTCGTGTCCCAGCTGTTAAAAGACGATAAGCAATTTCTCATTAGATCCTGAAAATGTCTTTCAATCTCTGTAGTTATGGAAAGGCTTTCATTAAAAAAAGAAGAAAAATGAAAATGGTTTTCCTTATATCATACATGTGGCTATCGGGTCCAATCAAATCTTTTCAAAAGAATTCATTTTGTAATGCTATCTCAGCTCTGAGTTGGGATTATTAGAATAAACTTCATTCGTTAACGTTGCGATAATAACTGCGGTAATGACCGTGTGTGTCTTTAAACAGTAGCGCTGTTCAGGAGGGTGCGGAGTCACATTTCAGGGTGTGCCAAAGAGCCACGGTTGGGCTCTTAAAGAAATAAGCACACAGTCAAACAGTCTCGTCATCTATTAACAGTTATTCTCTGGGGTTTTTTGCTGTTCAATTTCCGAGACAGACAATATGGTAATTTGTTGCTGATGAGATGTAAGCAGGAAGTCAGTTGAAAACCGCTGAAAAGACTTCATCCATAACGTACAGACAACCGTAAGCCCACAGTTCGACACACGTTCTGCGTTCGAAACAACCCGACATTGTCCAGCGCAGAACCTCCTACCTCCCACGTCACTTGGGCCGTCTCAAGTCAGAAACTCTTTGATTAGCACTTACTTTTTAAGTATAATATACTAATAAACTAATCCGATTGGTCGTACTCACATCATAAGCTTCTGGTCGTCGGCCACTGAGCCGAAAAGCGACTCGTGCAGAAGGTGCCAGGACACGTCTTCCACTACGGCGGTGTGGCCTGTGAAGATGGTCTTGGCATCTACGATCTTTCCTTCCTTAGGAGATCCGCTGATGTCCCATAGACAGATCGTCTGCAGAAAAACATTCAATTATTATTATTATTTTTTTAAATAAATATTTTTATTGGAAGAGATGGCACATTGGAAAGAGAAACAAACTGTAGTACACTGAGACTCAAGTGTAAAAGGGGAAAAAAAAGTTATAGAAATTGTTCTGTCTATCTCAGTGACAACAAATTGGGAGCCAAACTCGTTTTTTTAATATATATATATATATTTTTCTTTTCTACAGGTTAGAACACACATTCATACGTCTATACATACCCAATAGAAACAAAAAGAAAAAAATTATAAAAAATAAATGATTCCAAAAAAAATAAAAATAAATAATAATACTAAATAAATAATAATAAAAAAACAAAACAACTAATTCAAATAAATAAAGTTGGGGGGGGGGGATTCCCACGAGTGAGATTGCAGGGAGAGGCATGACATTTATCACAGCGGACGTTCAGTCCATTTAACCGAGGCGACCTTTACTAAAGGCAAGCTCTAGAGATTCAGAACTCACATGATCATCTGATGCGCTGAGCAGGTTCCCGCTCAGGTTGGGGTTCCAGGAAAGACCATAGCCCTCCTTCTGATGGCCCCGGAGTCTCAGGTCTGGACTGCACTCGCCACTGGGGTCTATCGATGATGAGAAAAAAAGAAAAGGAAAAAAAATAATAAAAATTGTGTTGAAGCTAGTTAGAACACCAAGCTACATAAATCTATAGTATACACATCCTCAACAATGCACTACAAGTTACTTATCCTAAACACCGCTAATTCAAACATTTAGCCTATTATTTATTTCCACCCAATTCTTCACATTTTACACCAGAATTTTTTCTGCCAATTTACAGATTTAGTTTCAAATAAAATCAGCACAGAATTGAGCTGCATTTTAACGTGTTAATTAAACTTGAATCAGAGAATTTACTGATTTAACTAAAGAGGAAAATAAAGGGGGGGGGGTGTCGATTACTATAGAGGAAACTATTCTGGGCTAAATGACGCAAAACTTTGACTCGCCTGGTTTGGATGGATGTTTAGTGTAGTCAAAGACTAGCACATCAGATGTAGGAGTCTTTGTGGCGATTATGCAGGGGTTCTGTGGCATGTACCTCGCCCGGTTCACCTCACCCTCATGATTGATCTTTATCTCGATCTCAATCTTTCCGCTCACAGACCCAAAGCCTCCAAACTCTAGAGAGAGAGAGAGAGAGAGAGAGAGAGAGAGAGAGCGAGCGAGCGACATGGTCAGCATTAAATGTTTTTATCCTAACTAGTAGTCAACAAACGTTACATTCAACATTAAATAAGTGAATTAAATAAATGATTCTTTCAGAAGAAATATCAAAACAAGGGGACTTGGTTCCTTGTTTCTACTAATCAAGATATCATTGATACCACCGGGACGATTTATTTCCACTCTTGATTTTTACATCCTCCAGCACTTTATCTCAGTAATGAAGTGAACCTCCAATTTATACCACATATTCAGGAGTGAACGTACCTGCTGGAAAAAACACACACACAACAAAATCCCATTTCAATATTAAAATCAAGAAACATCTCCATTTAAAATAAATGATAACTGACCAGCAAAACCTCATGTGTCTAGGAACTTTTTTATTCATTTGTCTCATTTACAATAAATACTGACATTACGTATTGATCACTTTTTATATATATATATATATATATATATATATATATATATATATATATATATATATATATATATATATATATATATATATATATATATATCTATCTATCTATCTCTGACTTATGCAGTACAAACCTCCTTTTTCGCTGTCGTAGTGAGACGCATCGAACTGAGCGTCGTCGTTGGGGATCTGAACACTGGCAACGACCAGGTGGTTCTGCTCATCTGAAGTGTGTGTTCCCAACACCAGCCTGTGAACTGCATAATCCTTTCCCTCGGGTCTAAACCAGAGGATAAACCCGGATAATTAAACACAGATTTTAACAGCGTTTGGAAACTCAAGGAGAATCGATTCAAACACGTGTAGGTCTGCAGAGACTGGGGCACGTTCACTAGTTCAAATCTTATTCCACGTATCTGGTATGAAAATATATAGACAGTGGGGGAAATAAGTATTGAACACGTCAACATTTTCTTTTTCTTATTTTTTAGTAAATATATTTACAAATGCAGCTTTTCACATGAAATATTCACAAAACATCAGCAGAAGAGAAGAATCTGCTGCCATCCACCAGGGCGATGAAGATGAGATGTGGGTGGAGCTTCCAGCAGGACAACGATCCAAAGCACACAGCAAAGGAAACTCTCAATTGGTTTCAGAGGAAAAAATAAAAATCAAGGTGTTAGAATGGTTCAGTCGATCACCTGACTCGAATCCAATTGAACAAGATTTAAAGACAATATGTTTAGAAGAACGGTCCAGAAATCACACCAGAATACTGCGACCCATTCATTTCTTCATACAGGAAGTGTGTTGAAGCGGTCATTACACACAAAGCCTCCTCCACTAAGTATTAAATACATTTCAGTTAGTGTGTTCAATACTTTTATCTTATGTCATTGCACATAACTTTATTTATAGACTTGAATGTTGTGAACTCTTTATATGTCGGGATTTCTTGGGTCAATACTAATGTCTGGTGAAAATTTCATGTGAATAATCTCATTGGAAATATATTTGCTGAAAAAATGTTGACGCGTCCAATACTTATCTCCCCCACTGTATACGTTTGAGAAACATTAGCGGTCGTAACCACTGCACTGGTTGTAAAAGAAAAGGGTCTTTCTTTCTTTTTCTTAAATCCCCCACTTTTATTTATTTATTTATTTATTTTACCTGCTCACATCAGGCAACCACTGCACCGTTAGACTCGGCCATTCGAGAGCATGTGTCATGACCAGGTCGTAGAGAAACGGCGTGTTTTTCTTCCATATTTTGTATTCTTCATTTATTACCCGCTCCTCTACAGCATCATCATACACTAGAGGGAGGAAAAACAAACAAATGAACTCAGAGCACTGTAGCCACATCGAGATATAGTATAATACAACAATGTAACATAATACAACGATGTTCATAAATGTTCGGTGAATACTGTTACGATTTATCCATATACAGTATACCCGGCCCAAACAACATGAATACGTCTCTTCGTTTGTTTTATTACGTTTAATTGGCTCCCAGCTGCGAGGGTGAGAAACAGGTTTCTGTTTGAAAACTAATCGTGACAGAAGATGCTGAGGATGCTGGAGGAGAAAAGGGGGAGGTTGAATCTGGCGTTAGAAGATATTCTCCCTAATTATCACGTTATCTTAAATCGTTTTCACGCTGAACTGATCCAGGCTACATTAACTAGAAAAGTTTCTCGTGTGTCGGTGCAGTACAGCCAGTCTGACGAGGCTACACGTTACAGCTTCTAGTAGGTCTGGCCGAGATGATGATACGACGACCAGCCCTTCTGGTATCAACATCCAAGCCTCGGTTAAAGTCACAGAGACCAGACTTTTTCTTCATTGTGATGTTTGATGTGAACATGACCTGAAGCTCTTGACCTGTATCTGCACGATTTTTGCATTGTGCAGCTGCCACATGATTGGCTGATTGGATAGCTGTATGAAATGTTCAGCTGTACCTAATAAAGTGGACAGTGAGGGGGTG